GCGTGGGTAAGGGGGATAGGCTAGTGGGGGGCATCGTGGGGATGGAAGATCTAATGACTGAAATATTTTTCCAAGGGGTATTCTCGTTTTTCCCAGAGGGTGGGGGGTTTGATAGGTTCATAGGTCATCTAGTCGGTTATTTGAAGATTCCAGACGTTAGAAGTAGATATAATTTGAAGTGGACAACATTGGAAGAGGACAACATCAGAAGTGGACAACGTTAGAAGTGCATAGTATTTGAAGTGGACTGGACAACATTAGAAGTGGACAACATAAGAAGTGGACAACATTAGAAGTGGACAACATTAGAAGTGGAAAACATTGGAAGTGGAAAACATTGGAAGTGGAAAACATTGGAAGAGGACCAACACAGCGCGCTGTAGCGGTGTGAGATGAGTCACAGAGAAGGGCACTACCCCCACTACCCTTGGGACTAAAAGAGGTTTGTAAATACAAGCTTTTATAACTTTTTGTACTAAATATCCTTAAAACATTATGAAAAATATCAAGGTAAGTAAACTTTTTATTTACGAAGTTGGCTGGATATAAAACTTTGAGTAAACTGTGTTGGTTTAAAGCTGCGTGCTATTTAGAGTTTAGATCAAGATTGAAACTGAATTTCTATATATTTTTAAGGATAAGGCTAAAGTTAGGTCTACATAAGTATTTTTTACTTTTACATATAGGTTATGTTAAAACTATCTTCAAATATCTACTTGTTTTCAACTTCAACCATAAAACCATAGAATTATCTGCAGTTTAATGAGGTACTTTTAATTGATCACTAACCCATAACTATTTTTGACGTTGCAATTACTGTACTTCATGAACAACGACACCACTTCGCAAGCAGTGCCTCACTCTGGATACGAATTCAGTGCTGGTCTTTCAACTTAGTTTTAATATGTATTTGAAATTATTAGTAAACAATGTCTATAATAGGGAGCCTTGCAAGAATTCTTATGCAAGAAAAACTTCATGTAGGCCTCCACATGATTTAGTTACTCTTCCTTGTAAATAAATGTCTACTGGGACTCAGAAAGCCAAAATTATGATGGATCTTTATCGTGATTTTATAGTTATTGCAATAAGACGGAGGAAACCACAGAGAAGATACGACAGAAAAGAGAATGGAAAGACGAGAAAAAGATAAGAGAGAGGTAATATAGGAGGGAGAACTGAACTTGTCGAGCAGTCCACTGCCAGGAGCCAGCGTCTTGTCTAATGTATTCTCTCTATTTGCATGTGGTCTTCATAATTAATTCTGTTACCCCCCCCCCCCTTACCAGTCCCCCTTGCTTTATAATGGTTCGCGCGTGCAATGAACCTTAAGCGCCTGTGGCAACTGGCAACTTCTTGAGTTACTGCATTTGCAGATTATTGCCTACAGATAGGCTGTAAGATGGAGTTCCACGGATTCGTCTTGAATATGATATTTTGGAATGTAATTTAAGCTAGAGTGTGTGTGGTAGTTATTATAATAATTATCATTGAACAATACAACTATTCTATTATACATAGTGAGTAATTTTAAGTACCAAAAAGAAACAGATGAAATTAAAGAAAGCCGATAAGGTATTGATGACACAGTTATTGATGATAGTTAAAGCTGCAGTTGTGAAATGAAATACTTACAAACGAGTTGAGATAGTATATCATAATAGTATACTTGTACGTTAACAGTAAATGTTATTACACCATCATCTAAAATACAGATTTGCTCATAACTTTTACGTAGTTTCATATGTAGATGTTTCTACCAACATTTTAGATTGCAATCTAAAAAAACACCTTGTGTTGTTGCACATTTACCATGTCATAATCCTCGAATTTCTCCACCACCCCTTTAAAACTTCAAGAGGGAGGGGAACTGTTTCTCATCTTGAGGGTGTCGCAGATCACTTAGGCTGTGGTCACAGTTAATTAAAACCGTAATAATATCCCACCCTGGGGGAAGATACCCCTTCAACATCACTTCCGTCCGCTGGATCCAGGAGGGGTAAAAAATATTCAACGGCAACAAGTGAAATTTGTGTATTATCATATAATAAAGTGTCAAAGTACTGGGGATTTTTTGTTATATGTTTAGATTTTTTTTACAAGCGAAAAACTGATGAGCTGAAATGGAAGTGGATTTGTGTAAAAAAGGTACATCATGAACGTGACTATTACAATAGCCCTAACCATGTCCTTAAATTCCTCTCGGGTTAATCGCAGTGGACATCCAAAGAGCCGCTTTGAAGGTAGATATTGATTTGTATCCTTGACAACAAAAAATGCAATATTTAAATTTTTTTATTTCATCGTTAATTTAAGTTTGCCGTACTAATATTGAATGTATACCCTCTTACATACCCTATATAGGGTATATAAATATAGGTAATAATAATATCTAATATCCTCTAAGAGGTACATTAGGTTTTGGCTATAAAAAATTATTCGCTCTTTAGTAGCAGCAACAAGGACAACAAATATATTTTAAACAAATGAAAACACTTATAAACATAACTAGCCACACACCCGTGCTTGGCAACGCGAAAAGAACCAGATACATCATTAAACATGGTTGGTTATAATAATTTTTAATTGTAAACTAAAATAATATGAGTTTTTGACAAAAATTTATATTAAGTATTCATTTGTATTTGTTACTATAAGATAAGGCGGTTGCAGATTGAATGTGTTTATACAAGTATATATTCCCTTAGGATAAAATCATGACAACAATGTCAGAATGATACGTTTATTTCACTGTTTACAAAATACAACATCTACAAACATTACAGTAAGCATGTACTCTACATAGAAATCACAACACAGGACATAATTTGGCCGATTACTGTTTCTTTACTGCGATTCCTTCTATACATCGAGTATTGTACATATGCATTTTTATATTGACGTTATTATGTTTCAAAAAGCTAGGTTAGGAAAATACTTACACCCAATTTACACCTAAACATAATTACTGTTAAACATAGGAACAAACAGAATGGCATTATTTGCAAACACCAGTCATGATCGCTGTATTTAGTCAGCGCCCGCTAGTCACTGGGGGACAATACATCAGCAGGAGTGTGTAGCGGTTTGCTCGTTTTTAATGCAGGCGCCACATCGGTGAATTTAACACCTACGAGCGAAATACAAGCAGGAAATTAGCATCTGACAGGGGTTGGTGAAATATCGGCTGACGCGCGGCGGTTTGTCATAAAACACGGGGTGGATCAAGGACCTGAGTGCTGAAAAGGGTTGGAAAATATTATTCTACTTTATAAAATGTATTATTTTACTTTATAAATGTCTAATAAGAAAACTACATAATACTTTGCAAAATATCCTTATGAAAAACTTTAAATATATTTTATCACTTCACAAAATATCACTGAATAACTCACACAATATATTTATGATGATAAACTGCAAGGCTCTTCTTGGGAATGCATTTGCACATTACTTCAGGCTAGGTCTAGACGGTGTATTAAAGAGGGGATATTCTAGGTTGAGGGTCGAAGTATTATCATATAATCCATCGGTCATTGGGAACGCGGGACCTCAGGGAACGAGCAAAATGCTCTACTACTAGACCAGCTCCCTTCACACTCAATGGCATAAGCTACGGTAGTAAGAAAATGTTTTAGAAAATGTCCAAATACTTACCTGAAAATACCATCAAGCATCAGCATATATTTTTCTATAATCCCACTCGGCTTATACGCAAACGAAATTTGTTCCCATGTATTTGTTATCGGAGTTAAATTTCGGCTTTCTTTTCCGAGTTAGTTTTTCTTCTGCCCGACCGATTTTCATGGTTTAGGTCTCAAATTGAAGGCATGCAAGCAAAGATTTCACATCAAGCATCGGCTACTGTATTACTCGACCAAAAAACATTTTAACCACTTTTCTCTGGACCATTTTCGAATTGTTCCTTAAATTTTAGATGTATTACCATGGTGGAAAGAAAGTACATAGGTTGCAAACAAAAAATCAACTGATTGTATTGCCATATAAATTTGTTTTGATTTTATCGTTATTGCTTATATAATTTTTTCTAGATGGTGAAATGGTATTTGCAATCTTAGTGACGTCAACATATGACGGAAATAGCACACCTATGTATTTTCCTTCCACCATGATGTATTCCACCAGTTATAATGATATAACCCTATATATCTGGTCTAAGAACCATCAGTGAAATACCGGCTTTCATTTAAGCTATTCGTTATTCAAATCGGATGAGTTTCAAGCAAATGCAAGGTGAACACTGAACAACCAAGATAAAAATTATTTTTCACAAGTTTTTTTTATGATTAAAAATCAATAGCTCAAAAAAATATTGTTAAGGTTTTTATATGGTTTGGACTCAAAATTATCAGTAAATTAAAGGCTTTAATTTGAGATTTTGATCGTTTTAACCAGCTCAAGATACTGTATTACTCAATCGAAAATCATAAATTTGATTATTTCTCGGATTATATATTAATTTAAACGCTTCGGAGCAGCATGGGTCCTCTAGTTTTGATGAAATTTAATACAAACCTGTAAACCTACATTTATTCAAACGAGTTCACGAACCAGCATGATCGGACTTTGGGAATGAATATTTATGAAAGTTTATGGGGTGAAAATTTGTTTTCACGATCCAGGCAAATGGAAATTCGCTTAGTCTGCAGGTTTCCTGCGGGCGGCGGGGGTATTTTATTGATATCTTATATCCATTTTCAAATTAGGCTATGAATAGTTTGTTTATAATTTTGATTACAAATTTAACACTCTTTCTTTACGCCCGTCTGAAGACAGTTAACATTCACCATGATTCATCGATTCCGATTCCTGACTCATTTTTGAAAGGGAAAACTTTCACCAGTTCCAATAGAGCGTGAAGCGTTCGCAGCGCTCCGACTAGTGGTGACATCTGTGTGGTAGACTGAGGAACTAACCAAGCAATGTAGCCGGTAGCAAATCAAGGAACCAACCAGCTGATCTTTTGTTCGTTGGTCGGCCGTACGGGCGCGTCCGCGTCGTCGTAGTTACTTACCAATCTTGTATTTCTTGAATTTTGCGTAGGAAACCGTGAATTAACCTCTGCGTAACTTTCAGTTTACATCCAAGTGGTTATAATACAAGCGTAAGATATACGTTTCATATTTGTGTCCGGTTTGTGTTCAGGTCATCAACACCAACACCTGCCATCAGTGTTGCCAACTTGTGCTGTGTTGTAAATATTGTGTCAAGTTTTGTTGTTTTGTGGAATTAGTGATTTATTTGTGGAAGTGGATTTACCATGGATATACAATTTTTCTCCTGGTTTTGTAAGTAGGCTATTGAGATTTTAATTTAACATTCGGTGATGTTTTGATTTTTTCATTTGACAAGTTTGCAACCGGTTTGTTTACGCGACTATACCTGGTTGATTGTTGATTTACCTGTTACTTTGGATACTTCAAGTAAATTACTTACTTTGTTGTAAAATATAAGATAGCCTGTTTTGAATTGCGTTACATTTGAATTCACAAAATATTTGTTCTAAGATTATTTTAGGATGTTTAAAGTTTAACCCTTCAGAAAACCATAAAATAATTCTGAGATGAGGAGGGAATACAGCAGTGTTTCTGAGTACAGTAAGGCTACCTATACACACGAGTTGAATTTCGTTATTACTTAGGTGTAAGATTGATATGCCTTATCGTTTATTTTTTTTATTATTCCAAAGGTTTGGTTTAGTTTAAACGAATTCCCATATAGGGAATAAGCTACGTTTGATCACATTGACATTTAATTTGTTGATTTGTAAGTTAAACTGCCGTACCTAGTTTCATTCAAATAAAGATCACATTTTATTTTGTAGGTTTATTTTACAGTGTAAGTTCAGCCCTTTGGCTATGGTTCATGAAAATTGGTTTTGAGATGGTTACAAGAACAAGGAGGAAAACCTTACTTAGGTGATACAATTTCTGTGATACAATACCTACATCGCATTCACAGTTAAAAGAAATAGGATTTGATTTTACGATCCTATCCTGCTAGAAGCGAGTCTATATTTTCATTGGTATCCACAAGCGAAAAAATAATCGAATCATCTTACAACAATCAAACAAATAATATTTTGCACTCGCTGGTTTTGGTAGGGTTGGCCATTACTTACTGCAGGTCTCTTTTTTTCTAAATGGTAGGTATTTTTCTGCAATTTTAATTTACACTTTGATGGAAAGGTGCAAAATCAATTAAATAACATCAATCGTTAGCCTACCTTTATGCATACCCGTGTTTCCACGTTGTGCAAAGTATGCTTCCTCGTAGTTTTGACCGTTTTTCAAACAAACCTCGTCATTGCATCACATCTGTTGTTGCTTGGTTTGTACTGTAGGTTAGCCAAACCTCATTTACAAAGGCTAAAAGTAGGCTGTATTAACTCTCCCTCTTTGAATAACATCAACTTTTGGTCGAATGAGAACATTTTAAAAGATATATCGTGTGTCGGTATCTTTTCTTCATTGTTGGGAAGATAGTTTTCTGAGTTTGAATAACCTAAGCGCCTTAAGTTTGCTATGATGCTATCAGCTGATAAAAACGTAACTATATCACATCTTGTTATCGTTTTCTTATATTTTAAATCAGCTGAATAAACAGCGTTGTTACGTATATCAATATTAGTATATAAATTATCAATCAATCTTTTTTTCAACATGTGACCAACTCCCCACCTGAGCCAAAATGGCCAAGGCTATATTTATACAACTTTAAAATCCCTTGGGCCATATGGTCCTAGGTAAATAGCATCACGGAAACCCAACCTGGAACGGGTACAGGCCTTTTTGCAAAATACAGCCAATGTGGTCTATAGATAGTCTTTATTTATTGGAATAGAGATAGACAGTCAGACACCCTAACACATTTTATAATAGAATTCCCTATAGAATCATGTTTAACAATAAATAGAAAAAGATTTTCATGTAAATCGTTGTATGAAATAGATCTGTTCGTTTTGTTCCAAATTACTGTTTCCTTGTTGTAGTTGTACCTTGTGTGTTAACAACATCCCTCAGAGTTTTGTTGTTGAGGGTCGACAAAGCTGAAAGAATTTAGCCGTTTTTATTTAGACCGTAATGTGAACGGGGCTGACAGCTGTTTTCTATGTTTAGATCGACACATTTGGATCTTCGTCAGTTTTTTTCACATTCTTCATGAAAAACGCATCTATTTTTGGCCGTGTAATTGGTCATCTAAAGTGATCGTTAAATGGTTTTGAGATGTTCGGGGATAATTAATTGTGACCGTAGTTAGCCTATTCTTTTAATGTGGTTGGTAGGTATTGGAAAAAAAAACATGTTAAGAAGTGAAAGAATATTTCTGTTGACATATTATTATCAAATTATCATGGTAAATTCGTGATTTAAAAACTTTTCCTCTATAGGCTATAATTTTATTATTACCCGTGCTATAAACAGATGTATGATTATAGAATGTTGAAAAAATATAATAATTTCGAACTTCTGTAGAAGAACGTTAAAAACAGGAAAAAAGTCCTGTATAAAAATCCACTGCCTCAGAACATAGCTTAGCTTCTTAATACATGGTAGGCCCATATAAAAAAGTAAAATATAACTTGGGTTAAAATAATGTCTTATTTTATTACTTTGTATCAGTTGTTAGAAAATATGACAAAACTAATGGGAGAGAAACGGAATGAAAAAAAAAAAAACATGTTAAGAAGTGTGTGAAGAAGATAAGCGTTAGCCTACTTGGTACCTAACCTTTTACCAATCTTTCGCTCTAAAGAATTACATTTTATGATTCAGAATAAAATTAACCCCCCTCTCCAGATAGAATGATATTCCAAAGTTTCACGACCGGATGAGCAGTTAAAAAACGTAAATAGACCAACAGACTCACATTTAATTTTATTTGTACTATCTAGATATTTATCACAGACTATCAGACTTGTATTTTGATGTCTCAGTGGCCTACATTGTTGCAAGCATGACGTCATCACTTGACCTATACTTCGTTGATCTACAGCTGTTAGCAACAGCGATATTGCGTCGTTCCAACGTTCTTATCATCACTGTCATATGACATTGCAGATTACTAATCTATTTCCTACTGCATGTTTCTCGGCATATAATTATTAGCAATGTAACCGCCTACGCCCTTCTAGGAAATGATTATGGTTACATGCGGACGTGTAAATCTTGCATTTACCTAATCGCATAGATTAAATGGTATCAACTGTAAGAAGCATCAAGCATTTGTAGTTTTATAATTTTTGAAAGTATCGTTTCATGCTCTGTCAATGCCTCTTTGTTTCATATTACTTTTAACTAATATTGGTTTTATGTTACCTGTCGTCAGTTCCAAACATTACAAATTTGGAACTGACGACAGGTAGGTAGTATAATAACAATCATTTTTCAGTTCAGGGGCTACTACTGTACAATGAATTTTAATATTACTTTTGTTTGCCCCATTTAGATTTTTTCAGTCGTTATATTCTACTATTATTTATCACGAGAGGAACCGTTCGCAAATTACTAAAAAAATAGGCTCCAAAGCTTATAAAGAGTGATTTATAGCTACATCGGGTCTCAATTGTGGAAAGGTGCCTGATTTGAAATACATTTTCATAAAACTCTTACGTACATCAACACAGCATAGACTAGGAGCATTTTTTATTTATGATATAACTTATTATTTTAATAAAACAAACTAAGTATAACCATTAACGACAATCGAAATACCAAATATTCCGAATATTACCAAAATTCCGCGTTCAACTATAACTGTGGACTGTGAATGAATGATTATGGAAATGATTAGCGCTCAGCTGTTTTACTTTTTCAAAGTCTGATCTAATTCTACGTTGAATTCTACACAGGGTGAAGAACTAGCCAGCCATCAACATTTTTATCAGTGTCTTTGAAATATAAACGTTGTAAAGTTAACTTTTACGCATGACAAAATTAATTAAATACTACAGATTATTCATATTATAATATTTGTAACATGCAGTTGGACACTATACTCTTTAGTTCGGCATGTATTTTACTCAGTTGAAGTATACAGGATTACAAGAAACAACCGCTAATTTACTTTTACAAAGAGCAGTACTGTGAGAGACTTTTTCAGTACTCAATGTCCCGTTGGTCGTTGTACAATACAAGCACTGTTGTAACGGTTAGGCGAGTTGTATTCACCATGCGCCAGCACGTGTGTATGACGTCATTGTATTGTGCTTCGACAATAACATTGACGTGGTCATGCCTAGCCATGTAATCAGTACTGATCAGTGTTACTGACTGTAGATATACGTTTGTTGCAAATAAGCAGTTTCCATGATAATTTAGAAAATGTAGCAAATGTTAGAAGAAAAAACGTTGAAGTTCAATTTAAGTAATCAACGTTTTCCACAAGACACGTTATTTAGTTTTTTTGTGAGACAACGTTTTGGTATGACGACGAGATCATACAGTAATTTACCTACTAAGTTATACTCGTCTTAGTGCTTGGCAGGGGATAGGGTTTTTTACTAATTACTAACGTTTTATGCATTTGAGAATCGTTTATAAACAACTCTCTTTGTTCGTTTTTGGTGAAGGTAATTACATGTTATTTAAGAAATAACTGAAGACATTTTCTAACACGATTAGGCATTTTAGACTATAGGACAGGCTCAGATTCCAGATAGCCTATCGAAAAGTCGTGAAAACTATGATCTAATCATGATAAAAATGTCCGTAATAATTTCTTAGACAACGGATCTAAGTTGAAACATCAGTTAAAACATTAATATTTACTTTATTGAAGCATTGTTGTTAAATTGTACTGTTATCAACATTTTCAACAAAGTCCAGTAAACACAGTACTTTAGGCAGTAAGTGCTGGTACGAGCACGCAAGAAGTCACACGCACAGCATAAATCATAAGTAGGTCACTCCGATCTATCATCTACTAGGCAGCCATTGCCCAAGCATTGCTCATAGGAAGTCGGCTCCAGCCTTGGCAGATAACAGACAATTGATCTGATAGAGTAATGGGCCCTGGCGCCCACCGCTAGAGCACTAGACCTCTAGATCCTACAGCTCAAGCCAATCTGATGCTCTACATTCCCGCGGTGTTTGTAAATAACGGCACGTGTTGTAGGGTGAAAGTCGTGTCTAAGTATAGGGACATCACCCGTGTCCGGTTGTGGTGAAGGTAAATGAAAATATCGTGGTGTGTAAACAAAGCCGCGTATACACCAACCAATCACTCGTAAATCTGTTTGTTAAAACCTTTCATTGTAAATTTACCATAGATATTAAACCATGCAATG